TTTTGTCCGAGAAAGGGGTGGGTATACCCACTTTTGTCCATTTCCCTAAGAAAAATGTCGGATGGAGGGAAGAGGCCGATTTCGTCTGCACCGATCCCGCGTGAAGAAAAGACTCGGGTACATTGCATAGATAAGATAGTTTTTCACTAGTGCAAAGAAAAGAACAGCTGGTGGATAGAAGGATATTCTGTGAACGGGAAAAATATTACATGTAGTTGCCAGGAGCTCTTGTTCTCTCCGCGCTGACACCATTTTGGCAGGCGCTTTCTACCGCGCGTGGTGTGTCCGCTCTCGTGCGTGTCTTTGTAATGAAGAAAATATATGGTGTGCTCCAATGTGCTTTTCGTTCCGTCACATCACGTTGTTCGAGGCCCTGTCCCATACCCCCCCTGTGGATGATGTTGATCTGCGTGCGTGTTCGCTCCCTCCATCACCGAACGAACCGGTCTCACGTCCCACGATCAACTCCCGTCGCCACTACTTCTATGATGCTCTCAGGGGCGGTGCTCCCATCGCCAAAAGACAAGTGTCGTGCCACAAAGTACACAGCAATTTGCTGCGCGTGGGTCGCAAGGAACCGCTACGGAAGTCGGCGAATTAACACCAAAACCCACTCTGTTTCAATGAGGATCTGCGAATTGCGTGCCAGAAATCCATTTATCTCTTCATTTCTGTCCGTAGATAGCCGCACGGCCAGAACGGGGTGCCTCCGCACACATAATGTTTACTAACCGCAACCCAAAAGGACTTCTTCTGTGCACCCTGCCTGAAACCACGGCCTGCCAAGCCAAAGGGGCAGATAATCCATCATCCCCATCAAGGGTCGAGCAAAAAATAGCCGGAAGGTTGGCTGGCCAGGTATGTATGCGTATGTACGGAGCACACCGGTAGGATTCACCAAACAAAGGCGCTACAATTCGTGTCGACGTAGGGGAAAATGCAGAGCAACCACCACCCAAACGAATCGGGCGTACACGACCTATTCTCCATCTCTTGACCCGATCAATCCGCCACTCGTAATATGTACAACGATATTATCCTTGCCGAGGCGCTCTCCCTGCCACGCGATGTGCTGGAGAAGAAAAGTAGTGAGAGGTTGTCCCACATCACATCCATCTCTTATTACGTGATATACAGAGTGATGAAGCGCGTGCACGAGATGGTTCCGGTCGCGCCGTCGCTGGTGAAAGCCGTACACGCCGTCTCCTGAATCGATCCCCTTGTCTACAGCTGCAAGGAATAACAAAAAAAGGGGGATACAAGATACGCATGCTTCGGGTTTCGTTTGGCAGGTGAAAGGAACCACGGCTTGCCTACCATCTTTTCCCCTGCTCGCAAAAAAGAGCTTCCGCTTCCGTCCCCGCCGTTCCCGAAGTTAGAACACCCCGCCGAACACGATACATCAATCGGTCTGGGTGCTGTGCTGCCCACAAATTGGGAAGGCCTGCAGCAGCAGGCCCTACAAACATCGAAAAGCTAATCATCATTCAGACATCGACGAATGCACATATTCGGGGCAAAAGGGGGTCATTGCTGTACGCATGCATACGCTCGCACTCTTACACGACACCGAGCGAAGAAGCACGCATACGGCACGGACCGTGCACAAAAAACGAAAAAATGGCCGATACAGTAGTGCCTCTGCGCCAGGCTGTCGCTCCTACACTTAACCAACCTACCCAAGGGCGCAAGACACCCGTCAATCCGTCACCCGTCAGATAAAGAGGAATCAGAAGAGGAAAAACGAAACGCCATCAAGACCCAACGCGTGGCAGTAGTCATCATCGTGTCTGTATGTCACCACACGAACACAACTAATCAGCTGGCCTGTGCAGGTGCCGGGGTCGGACTGCCCCCGCACAACGCCGGGCTCCACTCTGGCACCACCCAGCCACTTCACAAGTCGGAATCATCATCGTCATCGTCATCGGAATTGCCGGCACCACCACCAACACTCGCTACTGAAGCGGCGGGTTGGGGCCCTGCTCCCATCGTCGCCACCGCGGCAGTAGCACCAGCAAGCGCACCCACTTTCGACCCTCCAAACCCCACCGATCCCATCCCCCGCGCCCCCGTGCCGCCCCCAGCGCCAGCAAATCCGGCGAAGCTCGATGGAGACGCGAACGCCATGAGACCGCCTCCCTCCTCCGCTGGCGGGCCGCTGCCGAACGCGCAACCGGTGCTGTTCGTGAACAGTCCCCCCGTTCTCTGGGCAGGCTTCGAGTTCGACGTTCGACCGTTCAAGATGATGCCAACGCGGCCTCCCGCTGCGCCCAAGGACCCGTGGTCGGAGTCGGAATCGGAATCGGAACCGTCGTCTTCCAAGGCCGCGAACGGGTTTCCCTTGCGCTTGCGGCCGGCAGAGCGAACGGGCCGAGACGGCGGCGCGTCCGGCGCCTAGAATTAACGCCAAGGCCGAGTTGCCCGGCGGTGTAGATAGCAGTATCGAGTTGTTACATTCAGAGACGAGGCAAGAAAAAAACAAGGTGAGATGGGGTATAAGGGCGTTGGGTTGCTGCAACGGACGAGTACCGAGGCTTGAGTGGCGGGCGTCAGGGAGTCGTGGCTAGCATTTAACGTGCCAGACCGCGATGACAAAGAAACGGGGACACTGAACTTATGCGTTCGAGTGGAAACGGCGAGAGCGAGCATTTCAACGCTGATCTAGCAAACAACGGGGACGGGTTGGTTGCGGGGGGGCAACGGAGCAATTTTGCGGAATGGTGAGCTGCACACGCTGCTAATGGACAATATACCATAAGTGTCCAATGGGCTCTTGCAACTACATGTGTACGACGCAAAAAGACGCGGCTTGGGGCTCACCGGTTCGTCGGTGATGCTCTGCAGAAGAGCTTCCACCATGCGAGCGGAGCTCGACGCTCGGAGCGACGCCATGGACACCTCGCTGTTGATCGTGATAAAATGCCGTCCAGAAGAAGCAGGAGTGCGTGGGGGTAAAACTCGGCGAATCAGGTTGCCGAATTCGAATCATCACGATATCAAGCGTGGGCGGTGATGACAGAGAGGACCTTACGCGTGTGCTGCTATCTATGCACAGGGCGTTCTATGGAAGGAAGATGGCTGTCACCCTGATTCGAGCTTATATGCCCCGCGGGGGACGTTGATGAATAGCAACAGCAGCCGAGTGTCAACAATACGCCTACATATCGGTATTTGGTTGCGTGGTTGCGATCATCGAGACTGGAGGGTTCTCTTTCTTGAGCATGGTGTTCTTCTTGCAGGTCAGAGACCCCGCACAATTCACAACATGTCCAAGCGTGTCGCAAGCCCGGCCAGCGCACTCCTGTCGCTGACGATAACAACGATACCGTTTGTCTCCAGGTGCGCGCTGCGGACCAACGTCCTTCGTGACGTGTGGCTCACCCTTCGCTCGGCATGCGCAGCTCCGTCGTCGAAGGCGCGAGCCTGATCCTCACGGGAGCGCGCACACGTCTCGCTTTTTCCGAGTCCTCCTTGGCCTTCTCGCGGGCGTCTACGGCGGCGTACTCCGCTTGGATCACGGCAGTCTCCGACGATCCCGGCTGCGAACCATCCATCCATCAATCGAATTCCCCAGGTCAACAAGGCACGCCACCATTGTGCGGGGGTTTTCCGATGGAGGATGGGGTGGCGCAGGGGGCGGGGTCAAGTTCATTGTCGAGCTGGACACCAGTGCAAAGCAGTCGAGCAAGGTCATCGGAGTGGGTGGTGTTGTCGTTCTGACAGGTTTCGCTTGGTTGCGGTCAGGCACTTCTAAGGTGCGGCCTGTGCACTATGCTGGGACGAGACGAACGGGAGGTCCCATCGTCTTCCTGTCGTTGTTACTGTTATCCTTGACGGGTGTCCATGCTGAGACTGTCGGCTGATAGATATACGTACAGTTGGCGGTCCTCAATAACGGTACCCTCAATAGCTGAATGCCCTCTATAGCGGCATCGAAATCGCCTGGCACAAATGCATTTGTCAGTACAGTGCCTATTAAGCATAGCAGCACTGCCCTCTGTAGCGGCACCAACACCTCTTGTCACTACCTACCGCTGTTGAGGACCGCCGACTGTACCAGCAAGTCCGCTATATGTGCAACTTGTGGTGCGAAACTGCCCTGTTCTGGAGCCTCTGCTCTGCTGCTTACGGGACTCCGGGCATCTCGCTGTCACCAGCAGCCCAAACTGTCCGTCCTCGCAAATACCTTATGGCACCTTCGTCGAACTCCAGGAGAACCCCAACCCTCCTGTCGCAGACTCACGGCAGCCTCCTAACTACCACAAGCTTCAAGCCTTTAACGCATCCCCTTCGACTGCCGTGGTTATATTTCGAACAGATACCCTCTTTCTGTGTGTGTATTATCATGTATATTCTCTCAAAAAATTCACGACTTCACTACCTTGTGCATCTCGACTGCTGTTGCACACAAAACGAATACAGTCGGTGGTCCTCAACGGCAGTAGGTAGTGACAAGAGGTGTTGGTGCCGCTACAGATGGCATAGACAATGTACTGACAAATGCATGTGTGCCAGGCGATTTCAATGCCGCTATAGTGGGTATTCCGCTATTGAAGGCACCGTTATTGAGGACCGCCAACTACTGTAGCCTGAAGATCCACACAGCAATAGCAGCACCTTGGAGGGAGTACCACTGGACTTCCGACGCCTCTTGCCGCCGCGGGCTCGTTTGTTCGGCTGCAACAGCTGCTGGGCCAGCGTTCTCCTGTACATCATAGTGCGGAGCAAAGGGGTCAAAATGTGACACCAGCAACGAGAGCCGCGAACAGAGAACGAAAGTCGCAAGACAGATAAGCAAGGAGGAAATCATTCGACCAACGGTGAAGCTATGGACAGCGTTTAACTGACGACCATGGCAGCCCTTGGCGCATGGCTTTGGCCTTGAGAGTGGATAGAACGACTCTTTCAAGAGCATGCTAGATCATGCTACAGGTGTACTCCTATCGCAGAACGCGTATTCCATCAACAGGAGCGCGGTGCTCTGTCTCTGGGATGTACTCACTTCCCCATGGCAGCCGCGCCTGTCGCAAGCCCGTAGACAGAAGACCAGCATGGGATGGGCCGGTAGCAGCAGTCGGATAAATACAAGCGGAAAGAGAGAGAGAGAGAGAGAGGGGGGG